GGTGACACCCGCGTCCCCGCAGCCCGCTCTGCGGTCCCCGTGTCCCTGTGCCCTGCTGCACGGTGCCATCCATGCCCCCGCAGCCTGCTCCGCCGTGCCTGCATCCCCCCAGCCTGCTCCGCCGCGTCCCCGTCCCCCGCTCCGTCATGCCCACATCCCCGTGCCCTGCTCCATTGCGCCCGCATTCCTGTGCCTGCGCTCCGCGGTGCCTGCATCCCAGCTAAGCGGAGAACAGCTTGAGGTGTTTGGAAAATCCATCCCCCTGCTGCTGCCCCTCTCTGGAGGGTTTGGCCCTAAGGGCACAGACCAGGTCCAGCGCGCAGCTGGGGAGCAGCGGTTTCACCTGCGGAACCAGGCCAGGCTGTTTGAAAAAGTGCAGCTGTTTTGTGCTCCTGAGGGTCACTGCATCCTCTTGAGGCACTGGATTCTCTCTTGCACCGCTTTGCAGACAGACCCCGATTCCTCCTGCTGCCATCAGCTGGAGTTTCAGCCTTGGATTCACGGTGGGTTGTATTTTCCCGTCGGTTGCTGCAGGGGCTTAGACAAGAGCAGACTTAGGAGAATTACGGGAATGTTTTTGCTGCCCCCTGAAACAGCAGAAGCTCAGATGCACCCATGTAGTTTCACTTGCCAGACCATGGGGCTTCACCTCATCATTTGAAAGCAGTGCCAAAAAACCCCATTTTTTTTTTCTTAATCATGAAAAGATTTTCCTTAAGTTATGTGCTTTAGAAGAGGAGTGTTAGAATAGGTAGCAATAACAGGTTGGAGGATTTTCAGTGGCTTTAAAGAGACTGATTTTCATAAACTTGTAAAAAAGACAAGTATATGCTATCATATTTTCTACTTTTGAAACTTTTTCTCTTACAAAGCAACCATAATTTTATGACCCAGAGGGATACTCTGACCACTTGAGGTAAGGCAATGCTGCTCCATTCCAAAGTGAAAAAACAACCTGCCTATATTTTAGGCTTGTGTCCTGTGTTTCTCGCCTTCTCCACAGGGAAAGCTCCCACAGCAGTCACGGGAATCCTGTGGGAGGATGGAGGTGGTTGGTAGAGTTTGACTTGCAGACTTCTGGAGAAACACCGCTAGTCTGGGGACTTGTGGCTGTAAGGAACGTTATGTGTCCCAGTACAGCCCTGGGAAAAGCTGGCTGAGCAGCGGGGAGTTAGCACGTCTCTCTCCGCTAGTGTCCCTGGGATGCCTCCAGAAGGACTGGGGAGAAAGAAGGTTTCTTCACTATTTTTTTTAAAACTTTCCTGCAGGTGAACCAAGATTTGATTTCCTGCTGGTGGAGGTACCACATATTAATCCTTAGAAGATGACATTTATCGCTGTGTTTGGAGGAGAATGGAAGACTACAGGCTTTATATCACCAAAATCCTCCCTCCATCCTCAAAGCTGGGCTTGTACAGAGGTTAAGATGGGCCCGGGCATCTGCAGTTCCCTGCTGGGCTGCGGCTCCATGGGAATTGCTCGTACTGCTGTAGGAGCAGGGTGGGCACGTTGCCATCCCTCGCTGTCCTGGAGCCAGACCCCCAGCTTCCGCAGTACCGCTGAATTCAGGGACTGAGTGAGGTCCCGGTTGTGGTTTATGGCAATACAGTCGATTTGCTGTGACACGAAACCTCGCTATTGCTTGGCCAGGCAGAGCCGTGTGCCCTGCTCATGGACCGTGATGAGGGGAAGGGGCTGCTCAGCCAGCCAGCCGCCTCGCTCCGCGCTATCGCTACACGGAAACGTGCACAAGGCGTTTGATATTAAGGAGCGGGAAGGCACCAGGCCGGTTCCTCTCCAGGTGCAGGTCTGCACCTCTGCGTGCCTCAGTTTCTTCACCTGCACACAGGAAAAGATGACACTGAGTGCTTTGGCGAAGGGCTTTGAGGCCTGCCAGGGTCTATAGATTTGGGATGATTATGCCCAACAACTTGGTTTGGAGTTAGGAATTGTCTCGAAGGAGTTTGGAGGTGAACCTGCAATCCCCAATCCCACATCACCTGGGGATTTTAGAAAGTTTACTTGCAGCTCACTAGATTTGCAGTTTCAGGATGTTTCATTTTGTGTTGCCTCCCATAAAGCCACTCCTTTCTCGAGGTTTATTCAGAAAGACTGATTCTTTCTTTAATTGGCATATATTTAAGGTGGGTTTCTTTACTTCTTCCTCCTTTAACTGCTGCCATCCGGAGGCCAACTGTTTTGTTTAAATTAGATGTTGTTTAAATTAGATATTGTTATTGATCTTCTTCGGCCTGGTTTCATATTTGTCCTCTGCTAGAAAATCAAAGCCTCTTTATTTGCGACTCGGTTATTACTGCCTCCGCAGACAGTACATAGGGCCCTTACAGCACTTTTTTCTGGCAAGAACTTGTATTTTAAAGGGAAGACGATCAGATTTCAGTGTGTTATGTGGTGGGAAAGGGCAGTTTTACAATGCTGTATGGATTAAGAAATTGCAGGCCATTGTTTTGCCCTCGCTGCCTGGGACCGGCAGTGTATTTCATGTGACACAGGTCCCTTCCCTGTCACTCGACAAGCGACCGTGCAGCCCTCAGAGCCGCCAGAGCATCTCCTGCAGGCCAGGCCAGGCATCCCCCCAGCGCAAATCACTGCTGCACCAGTGACTTGAGTGGGGTGAAGTGGGTTTTTGCCTGGAGGAGCTTCCATTTTGTGATGGGTTCATGGGTCCCTTGTGTGTCCCCTCTTCCCCCGTGCTTTGGCTTGTCACCCTGCTCTGTTGCCAGCAAGTGTGCTCCTGCCCCAGCCCCTTGTGCTGCCCTCGGAGGGTCTGTGCACACCCAGAGCCATCCCTCTGACCCCAGGAGCAGGGGCTGGCCCCATCCCCACAGCTCTGTCAGATGTCACCGGCTGGGGACGGATGCCACATGGTCACACTGCTCTTTTCTTGGTTCCAGGGTTCGCCACTGAAGGGCAAGACATGTGGTAGGAGCCAGCACTTCCCACCAAAGAGCGAGACTCCATCGTGCCTCACAGCCCAGGGTGCTGCAGGAGGGACAGGACATGCACCACATCAGCTGCCTCCTCTCGGGACTCCTCTTCATCCTCGGTGTGACCAGCACGGACGGCTTTGCCCGGGCAGGGTAAGCCCCCTTTTTGTCTGCATCTCCCAAGTGTGCGCTGTCGCATGTCACAGCGACTTGCATTCCCTCCCGGTGATGAAGAGCCCTGTTCAGCCTGACGGCTGCACGTGCATAGGCAGCTCGCTGGGCTGGCGAGGAGGTGGGAAAAGGCTCAGCCGAGTCCTCCTGGGGCTGCTGGGGCTCGGCAGCCCTTCCCTGGTGTTTGCTTTGTTACTGAAGCAAAAAAGCCTCTCAGAGAAAATGCCCCTGCTCCGTTTAGCTCCATGCAGGGGACACAAAAACACTCTTGGCTTTTTCTCTGGGTGAGTCAAAAGCTAATCAGGCCCTGAGCTGTTCATGAATTATTATTGTCTCATTCAAGCACATCCTTGCACAACAATATGCGTGCAATCTTGCTATCACTTGCCCGTCAAGCCTTGCAAATGAGCCATCAAAGGAGGATGCAGCCTCCCAGCCCTGAGAGGATGCACCATCCAGGGGACACAGGCATGGAAAGCCCTGGTGGGTTGTTGCCTGCTGTGCCCTGGGATGCTGCAGTGGCTGCAGTTGCGGTCCTGCAAGCCCGGGAGTGGCAGCTCCAGCAATTCCCCTTCCCTTTCCAGGAAATGGGCCCGACATGGCTCCCTGGATCCCAGCACAGCTCAGCTCCCGCTGGGTCAGAGGAAGCCCAGACCTCGCTGCCCCAGTTTCTTCCCCAGCCAAAAGGAGCTCGAGCTCAACTCCCGCCCCCCAGATACAGCTCACATTTTCTACAAAGTTTGTTTTTACATTGAAATACTCTCCTCTAGCGTTAAACCTTTTGCATTCTGGTTGTGACTAAAACCGCAGGCTGAATTCCTCGCTCGCACGCACAGGCTGCAGCTATAGTTTTATTCTAAATTTTGCCAAGCAAACAATTGCCATTTAAAAATTGCATCTCCTATAGCATTAATCAGTGAGGCTGAAAGGAGTTTTCTGGAGTTAATGGAAGCCATCTGATGTCCATGCTAATTCCCAGGCTTTTTATTCTAGTTTCTAATTGGGCTGGGAGGCTGAGAGAAGTAGAGTTCCTCAGTGGGACTGACCTGCTTGAGCTGGAAAATGTAGAAAAAAAAGTTTTTAACCAAGACCACTTTGGCTGTTAACCTTGGGAAAGTTTTTGACTGGATCGCAGTTACCTTAGGAAGACTGGGGGGTGGCTTTCCTCTGGCCTCTACCTTTTTGCAGTGAGCCTGACCCTTCCTGTGAAATCATTAATTTCTTGGTGACCAGAGGGGCATCCATTTCGGTATGGCAAAAGTCTCGGAAAGGAAAAATGCACCCAGAAAGTGAGTGGTTTTAAGGGAAGGGAGGTGATGAAAGGAAGGAGAACTGCTTGGAGTAAATCCCCCCTAAATCTGTGCCCTGACTGCTCTCCCGAGACGGAGGGACTGTGCTGGGGTGAGTGAACGGGGAGGCATCAGCGGCCTCGCGCAGGGGCTTGGGAGGAAGAGTCCATGCTTGAGCAGTGCTCAGGCTTTGTGTCGCTGCCCTGAAAGAGCTTGAAGTAACCTCCCGGGTCACTCGGGCAATTAGCCACTGCCCTTTAAATAGCCCTCTGTAGCGGGGGCCTGTCAGGCCATGTCCGGGGCTGGTGTAAATGTTCCGGGGCTGTTGTAATGCAGCGGAGCCCCTTTGCCCTGGAGGGAGAAGCTGCGGGTTGGTTTTTAGCCGGTGTCTGACCTGCTCCCCTCTCTGCAGCCGCAGAGTCTG